AAGGAATAATCTTAGACCTTGACCTTATGCCAAGTGACCTTCAAAGGTGTCTTTCCTTTTAATATCCTTCATTACTGTATTTTTTCTGTCTCCACTTTATATCTGAATTCATCAAGAACCTATCAGAGCAGACTTGGGAAGCTCGAAGCAGTGACAGGTGGACATTGTTGGTCATTGTGACAATCTGATTAAATGACCAGGTCATTTTCCAATTGTCCACTTCACGGATCAATGGCACAGTCTTAATAACATCAAACGTGGTCAATCGGTCCCATTACAATCACAGACACACCTACACCCAACTAGGGCTGTATCTGTGTCACACTAGGGGCGACATATAACCACTAAACTGTGTTAATGAAATCAGATAACAGTCAATCTAACAATTATGTATCTATTGATACAATTATATCAATTTCACGGTACCACAATATAGCACAAAATCTCACTTTACGCTAGATGGTTTGAATATGACAGATAGCAATTGCATCTAAAATGTTTAATCAATTGACTCGATGCAGGTATTAATTTAAATCATTTACCATAATTATTCAATAAGGCTGCATAAATTTTCTAACACAGCAGGTTATGGGGCATAGTCATAAAGAAAATCTTTTTTATTCTGAAGAGTGCAATTTTTTTTCTCTTCTCATTGGTGGACATCTTAATATGTCAACTGAGCTCACAATAACGAGCTAATAATTAGAAACAGGCAGGGGTAGCCTGTGTAAATATTATCTGTTTACTGAGAGTCTGCCCCAGGACAAAAACCCTACTTCAAGGTCACTCCAGAACAGCATCCAGTAATTATAGCCATCATCCAATTAATTAAGGGGTCAAAAGGTCATCAGAAGCAGTATCCTGCATTGTGTCATATATATAATACAGGGTGAAAATATCTATTGTTATGGAAGTTCATAATTAAGGATGAATTTTAAGATAAAAATATGGAAATCTTATTTTATATTTAAGAAATTTTTTTTTATACACAATACTGAGAAGGTATGAAAATGCTTATATGATTATAAATACACAATGCTTATAAGTAACTTTTAACCTTATTTTCAATATGTATTGGTATCTTGTAGTTTAGATTTAAATTCTACACAGAAATTTTAATTTTCATGCTTCAATCTTTTGAATTAAAATGGAATATGTCCTTGAAATCCTCAAATGTCTTGTTTGACCTTGACAGTCAAAAAGTTAATTATATTTCATGTCTGGAATATTATTTTTACTTTTCAAAAAAAGTTTCTTAAATTAGAGAGCTAAAAAATGATGCAGCAAATCCATGAAAACTATCAAAAAACTTCTAAAATTAGGAAAAAAGTTTTGGGAAAGAATGATTTAGGGCCCAACATATTGTGTATATGAATCAGTTCCTTTGTATCTAGAGAAGCGTAAACTTTGATCAACAATACCAGACTGGAGAGCTCTCTTTATAGAAACGTTCTGATGATCAATGTAGCCGACTTCCTCTGAATGAAATTTGCAGGTGTGAAGAAAAATCACACATGATGCAATAAAACGACCAGAAAATCGGCAAAATCTTCCTGAAAATCAATCATCCAGCAATTAATTGACTCAGCTGAGCAGCAAAACTAAACTGGGTCTGCAGCAACATTATGGAAGCTTCCTTCAAATCACCTTCTGTTCTAAAACTTTGATATTATCTAAAACTTTGTTAATCTTATCTCAAATGCCAATGTAAAACTAATCTTTCTTAAACTAATGCCCTAACCTCCAGGAACTACCCAATCAAGCTGGCTTCCAATTTCTCAAACATGCCCAAAATTCTAGTAAATTGGTCAAATGTCCATTAATTTAATATTTATCAACATTTTCCTGGGAGCTCTAATTGAGTTTCTTCTTTGCAGATTGTAACAATGAGAGAATACACTAGACAAATAAACGCTCTAGTAACAAAAATCAATCCTCCAATCACCAAATAAAAGTGTCAATAATTGCAGCAAATATTTAAAGATTTATTTAAAGCTTTTCAGTAGGGATCAATATAGTATTGAGGGGGTTCTATAATATTAAGGGGGGTTTGTGTGCACTAACTGTTGGCTTCACAATGCTTGAGTTCTTTAAGTTGCAATATGTTTAATTAAGAGAAAGAATTACAAAGACAAATACACCTGCATGCAAACACAGATTCTTACAATTCTTTGTTCTCAAATATTTAAATTCTTTATTTTAGGAACAAATAATTGTTTTGATGTTTAATACATGTATAATATGCATTTTTTTGTCAATTGCTGAAAAAATCAATCAAAGAACAACTTCTAGAGAATTTGAAAGTATAAAAAAACTTTTGAAGGGTGGACATTTTGAGTTAATAAATACAATTCCTCAAATTAATTTGTTATAAAATACTGATCAAAACAAACCTAAACAATAGAGCTTGGCTATTAAGTGCGGAGGTTATGAATTTTTATAAAGCAATCAGCGACCAACATAATCAGTTTGTTATGAATTAATAACCTTGTATTGGTGGAATATTGTTTGCTTTGGCGTAAATTTGCCACGCGTCCCCATTGTTATCTGGGACTGTCCTTTGTCCAAAAGATAAGAACTGAACACAGCACAAAGAATTGGCTGAAATGGACACCTTATCAGTATTTATCTGTTGCAATCTGTCGTGAAGGCAATATCACAAAATATGACAGAAAATACAATGAACATGGAAACCAATATGTCTTCCTGCACAATGGGTCAAACTTATCATGTGTCTTACACATGTATATAATATCAATTTATATACTCATATTCATAAAGTAATTGATAAAAGATCAGCAGCTTTGACATTAATCAATTAATTAGATTATTGATCCTGCATTCCATTCAGATGATTATTTAACAAATACATGTATATGACCAATTTATCTAAAAATGCTGATCCTTAAAATGCATCCTGGAAATTCAGAAACCTTTTGTATAGTTTTAAAATTTCTAAATCAAAATGTATATAATTCTTTTAACAAATGTTTAACAGAAGAACTTCGATGCTGTTCATATGCATTTGAAGTTTTCAATACATGTATTAAGACATATATCAGATACAAGTTTCAGGCTCATAATAATTATAATTGACTTTATTTATGGAAAATGTTATGCAGGAATATAAAGCCATATATATTCAAGTTTCAATGTGTCACACAATACTATTCCCCATTAATAATTTAGCTTTCTATATGACATGACTTGTTATACCGTGATTTGACTCTCTGCTGAATATGGCTGGTTGATACACGCCACCACAAAATCGTGGCGTGCAGGAGCGGGAAAATGCAAAAATCATGACCTTCATAGTACAGGTGTCACTGGATTCATCTTTCAACTTGACGGAACAAAAGAATCATTATGGATGCTTAGTAAAGCAGCAGGTGTGGGATGGCAGGTTTTTTATGGTAGACACTCACAAAGAAGATTCATTTTATTCAGGCACTGGTGCAAAAAACAAAACTCAGATTCTTATCTCAGTAAATGTGAGGATTGTAACGTAATTCTTCAGAACAGCATTGTCAAGCTTGAAAACAGCTCCCTAAAACTGAAGTAAATAAATCTATGACCTATCAATCATATGAATAATGTAACATTTCATGTTCTCCATACCTGCACACAGTTTAACTCTGGGTTGCAATTTTAAGCCATCATCCTAATGTATTGATCTGGGGGATTTGATTTTGTTTCAGGTTTCATTCGTTGCTTTGCTTTTGGCAATAAATTCTTTGTTTTGGTTCATCTAGTTCATGCAACCTATTAAAATTTCTTAATGAATCATATCTCAACTTTGTCAACTTCAATTCCATACTTTTCATCTACTGATTGATAAAATATTATATTTCAACAAAGTGCATTAACCTTCAATAATTTACTCACTATAGTCATTACTTGACTGTTTTGATTTAAAAAAAAAAATCTATCTGAAGGCCTTTACATATGGTGCAGATGTTGTGTTAAATATTATAACTCATATGTGAATCAATAATAGGGGCTGTTAACAAATAAATGCATTATATAGACCCAGTTTATGTACCCTCCTCCCTAACGGTATTATGAGGGTTTTTTACTACAGCTGTGTATAGTAGAATAGTTCTACAGTTCACCAACTGTTGATGACCAGATCCTGCGACAGGTGAGACAGCTATATCTTCAGATGGCCCATTTATAAACTGATATCCTCTTTGAACACAAATTTCTGATTAAAGCGGGTCATACCTAATGTCAGGTGCACAATGGCCACGCGCCTTTTCTTTTGTTCAGTGATGTCTCCAAATTCTGATTGGCCAAGATTTTGGAAATTGCAAGCCACATGGTGTCTTGAGGATCAACATGTGCTAGGAGTATAATGCTCTACTTTAAGTATTTTAACGGCTCTTGCTGCCTATAATTATCGGCACGCGTCTGCCCCTTTGTTGTGGTGTAGTGTCTATACTGGGAATCACTCTAGCGTGACAGCTGGTCGCGTGGCCAGGTGATTATCCTACACAGGTAACTTACAGGAGCCATATCTTAGCCCCGCCCCCTACCTCAGACTGACAACAGCTACTCGGGCAAAAAGCAACAGATCTCCAAATCAAAAGACTCGGCTAAAAATACTCTGACAGATGGAAAACATTGTCAGTAGGGAAAGAATAGAAGACTTAATCAATTATTCAAATATTTCAAAAGCAGGAGGGAAGCGTGGCAAACTTTTTTTACGCGTGTTTTCTTCTCTAAGCCCCTCCCTCTCTCGTTGAGTCCTGTGACGGTTCAGGGCTTTTGATGTTAGAACCACTTGATGAAAACTGCATGAAAATGTAGGACCATTATTATTTGATTTTTGAAGAGTGGAATTAATTAGATAATCAATCTGGAGCCACTGAACTGTGTCTTGGACCCCTCAGGTATAAATTCAGAAGACAGATGGAATAGGACAACAGATAGCTCTATAAGTTGACCAGATAGCACCTTGTGTAGAAGAGAATTTTTAGTTTGGACTTTTTTGTTTTTAGGTACACAGTTTTGAGTGAATTAGAGTCAGTCTAGAATCTACAGAAAAATGACTTCCAGTTTCATCACCCCAATTGTAATTTTCATCATCACCTTACTAGATTTTGTCACAGGTAAGAAAATTTAAATTTATTATACTTTTGTGATTAAACTTTCTTATAAGCTAATTGAGTTTTTGTTTTTCAAACCTTTTCAAACCTTTTCTTTGCCTTTTTTTAAAATGCAAAATCCAAATTCTTCTTTGCTTAAAATTTGTAAGGAAACAGAAAGAACAAGATTTTGCAAATTAACCTTAGGAACATTTGTTAATATATGATTTGGATATCATAAACACCATATATCAATAGAGCTGAGAAACTGTCAGGGTTAATATTTGTTCCGACAGCATTATAACAATGAATTTTAGCATGACAACATATTCAGCACTGGAAATGTGTTGGCTTAATGAGGGAATGTGTTGGCCCTAATTAAGTGAACTTTGAGTAATAAATATTACCACAGAAGATATAAGCAAATTACATAGAAATTTTGGCGAGAATATCTTCTTTTTCATATATTTATTAACTTAAGTTTATATTTCTAACATTTTAATCAGTCGATCAGAGTATTATTTATTGTCATGTACGGTTTATTATCGGACAAGAGGACAATGCCTTGATCTGTCTATATCCTAAGATGCCCTTCTTTTGAAAACTGTGAACTTGTATAACCATGAAAGACATCCGAGGACTGTGAGAATTAAATATTATGATAGGGAATTCTCATACACAAAGAATTAAGTACCCTAAAAAACAACAAACTTTAAAGTTCTCAAACATCATATCAATTAAATTTACAAGATCAATGATAATGTGTCATAATATGTACACTCCTCCAAATATTATACACATAATACTTCTTAGATAAGAGATAAGGAACCCAGTAAAAGTATGGACAGTGCTGTTTGTAAACTTAAAATTTTTTTTTTTTTTTTAATTAAAAAAAATCTCTCATTTAAAATCCAAAGTAATAAAAACTTTTCTTATATTTACATTGTACCAAGTACTACATGGCAGAAAAAAATGAACAAGTGCATTAAAGTGCAAAAGTTCATTTCTTCATATTTATCAACATTTGATGAGTTATATGCTGAATCTATTTTATCAAAATGAACTCCAGAGTTTTATTTCTTTATGACAGGTGAAATCAGTTCAGCAAGTGCCTGTTTCTCCCGCTCCAACAAAATCGACATTCAGTGTTCCCCGCGCACGATGCTGCGGATACACAAGGTTTTCTTTGGGTACAACAGTGAGGGGCGGTGCTCCTTCACCCCCGGGGATTGTATCTACACGGAACATGAGAACTACCCCTGCGTGGGCAAGGAGACCTGCAGCATCAACCTCCCCAGTGGAGGGTTCGGCCGCAAAATTCCGTCGTGTCAGCAAGAGAGTACCTACTTCCAAGTGGACTACGAATGCATACCAGGTAAATAACATTATGCATCCATAGAAACAAAAATGAGAGCCGGGGAGATAAAATGGAACCTCTGCTTTCATCTAACTTATGCTTGATTTGATGCACTCTTTGAGTAGCACATGTTATTTACAAGTTATTAAATCCTACATGAAGGGAGATAGATTATTAGCTGGTTTTAGGGAGCAAATGTGTTAAAGAAGCTTGGCTTCTCAGCAGGGTATTTTACACTTTCCCCCACCCCTCCCCCTTCCACTGAGAATTTAAGTTGCTCACTCTGAATAATTTCATATTCCTCTCAAGTTCTTTACTCAATTTAAAACTCGGTCTTCATAAAACTGCAGAAAATTTTAACAACAGATAACTGACACCTTCTGACAATGTCTTGCTGCAGAGAAATATCTCGCCAATCGATCTTACGATCATTTTGTGTGCGAGGTAATGAGCATTAAACACTTCTTAAAACTGTTCCGCAGGTGAATCAATAATTAAATCTAGCATTGTTCAATCCTGCACCTGAAATTGATATACTTTCTAAAAGCTCAGATCTTAATCATTATAAAGTTTGAAAGCATAGAATTTCAAATAAAAAGTTTTCTTTGTTTGCTTTCTATAATCAATCTAAACTTTTGAAATTAATCTTTTTCAAGTCCTTAAAACTTTTAAGTTGCTTTATAAAAATAGATTCAATTACGAACAAAAATCTTAACTTTTTTCATTTTTAGACCGTGGAAGTTTTCTAGCTGTAAAATTTCTATCTTAGAATTCAAAAATTCATTCTTATTCACCCCAAAAATCTTCAAAACCTATTGCTATAGTGCTATAAAAACAATAAGTTGAGCATGTCTTGTTCGTGGCCTCTGATCCAGGCCTATAACCTTAATTACACCCTGCCTGATCACTACCATAACCTGCACAGTCTTTGTGTAAGGTTTTGGCATTCTCCTAGAACTCTTTTTATGTGTAATTCATCATTCTTGTCTATGCTGCTAACTTTCTGCTAACGATGATGTTAGTTTGAGCTGCCAGGCCTCGGGGTGGGGGTCCAGTTTAGATCATTATTAGGTAGCTTCACCCAGACAGGGGTACTAAAACTTCTAATAATGTGCTCTTTTCACTTCCCCTGACCCATTATTGCATTAAATCCAAATTCTTATACTCAGGTCAGAAGTGCACGGCATATGCTACAAAAAACTTCACCATTTCATGCACAACTTGAATTTGTTCCACATGCAGTTGTATATATACAGCAACAAATAAGCATATGCAACAACTTTTTAAAACTTAGTTTTAACTGAACAAAATTAACATCATGATTCATTTTGCCATGAAAAAAAATACAATCACACAAAAACATTTTTTTTTTCAATTTTCAAATTAAAAAAAAAGGTAAACTCACTTTATGATTTTTTTTTTTTTTTTTTTTTTTTAAATTACAGTTTGCAAAAACAAAAAATCATTTAGAATTTTTAACTATTTATTTTTTTTTTTTTTAATTCACTAAAAGCAAAGAGTGAAAAAACTCGTCATCAAACAGCTGTCTGTGTTTTCCCTCCATTTCTGTCCTTGTCCCCCATCTGTCACCGTCTCCCTCTGCAGATGGAGGCCCCAATCAGGCGTATCCAGCACACAGCAACAGATGTCCCCAAGGCAACCAGCACAAACTGACAAAGACCCCAATGTCTAATTGCATTATTTCACTCAGCCACTAGTTTGAAACAGCAGGTGTCAAAATTAAATCACCTTTTGCAATGCAGTGAATAAAATCAAAGGATTAGGGAGTATATGCTCTTGTACTTTGGGACAATAAATTTATTCAATAAATTGCCTTGTAGTCCACTCTATAGGATTTCACAATCGTAATCAGCCCGAGTTATTGAGTCCGAGGGTAATGTTATCTTCAAAGTTTGTTTTTCTCAATTTTTGTGGAACATAACCAGCTGTGGGCATAATAAAAACTCACAATTTTGTCAAATAATCAATTATTAATATAAAAACTTCACTCATGACATACTTTTCCTGAAAACTAAAGAATCATTAATGATATATAGATGTCAAATAATGAGAAAAATTATTTCTTATAAAAAGTCTGGAAATGAGTCTGAGAACAAAATTAAAATTTCAGTAAAATTTTAAATTTAACAAATCCTGAGCTCTGATCCTATCTAAGGCATTAACAATGTCATTTAAATCTTTCACAAATGATTTTTTCAACATGCCAAAAATCTGATGATACTAGAATTGGCTCACTGGTTCCTAAAAAAACAGTTAAAGTTCTCATCGCCAATTCCCACGCATACCGTCCAAAAAAGACCGATGGATCGCCATTCTTAGCTTGTCCATTGGGGGCCTCGCATGACATTGGACCCAACCCCTGATAGATAAAACTGATTAACAAATTCTAATATCAATCACAATAATTAATCAGTACCATTAATTTTTTAATTCAATGCCCCTGTGAATATTTCCCATGCCTGCATGTCAACCTCAGGCAGGAAGACTGCCTGTGTCAATAAGTGTATAGAATTAACAAAGGGACCAGATCCCCCAGTATTGTCTGGTCTACGTGGTAAAATACTTATATCGGTGGGAATGGACTCAATATGACTAATACATAGATATTAAGTATCACAGTATATTATGGTAGATGTGCGTAATAATTGAATTCTATGGTGTGGTCTTTGGGACTCTGTAGTTTGTTTACAGTTTAACAGAACAAAAAATTGCCCATTTTCTTTGTTATAAATGTCATGAATTGTTTTTATACTTATAATGCAGAGCAAATTAATTATTGCAATTTGATACAAAGAGTAAAATTTCATTAAAAAAATGTCAATCTCCAATGGATTTATTTAGCACCATTTAATAATTGCAAAATGATGTGAAAAAAGTACAAAAAAAATTTCACGTCTTGCAGTTGAATTTCCGAAAAGTTTTAGAAATTTCACAAATATCCACATAAAATATCCCTTAAATAAACAGAATATCATTATTTATGTTGACTTTTTGAAATTTCAGCCTACATGACCAGAAGTATTTGTAATGTTGAGGACCTTCGGGACCAATCTGGGTATTTAGCCAGCCCTGGTTACCCTAACAACTACCCCTCCAATCTGGACTGCTCGGCCAGGATCTACGTCAAACCCAACCAGAACATCAGACTTTTTGTGATTGACATGGATCTGGAAACCAATGGCTCCGTACGATGTATGGACTACCTGTACGCCAGGGACAAGTCACGCAGCATCACCTTGTGTGCCCGCCGAGCCAACGAACCCATATCTATCATGTGGGACGAGCTCTTCATACAGCTTATGTCAAACGGGATTGAAAATCACAAAGGATTCTGGCTGTATTACGAAGGTGCGTAATCTCAGGCAGGCCAAATTCCCCTCCATCACTGCTAATGAACTGAATAATTCACTGTTCGTTTTCGCCCGATAACCATATTTGAAAAATTAAGTCATTCTTTCAATTGACTTTCATGTGTGAAAATCCTATTAGTGGAATGATGAGGTACCAGTGTGTGATAATTTATCCTCGTCCTTGTCAATAATTAATGGCTTTTTTCTTCTACAGCTGATCCGCCACTTCTGACGACCACCACCGCCCCGCTGGTTTTAAGAACCACGGCGGAAATCTTGGAGGACGAAGCCCCGGCTCCCTTGACCAGGACCAATACCGTCAGAATGCAGACCCAGGAAAATAAACTACCCTTTGGTAAGACATTCACTTTGCTGATAAAAACCTTTAGAAATTAATAGCAAACTTAACATTTCTTAGATATACTCGAATGTTATAAAGTATGAAAAACTGGGAAAGTCATTTAAACACTTTTTTTGTATGTTTGATATTGTATCCTTTAAAGAAATGAAAAGTTGAATTTTTTATTAATTTCAGTGGCCATTATCGGAGGTGTGATTGGGACCCTGAGTTTTATTTTGTTAGTCCTCCTAATCCTTCTGGGGGTTAAATGGTGGAAAGAAAGGCGAAGACGCATGGACAAAAATAGATTCATAGAGGTCCAAAACCCTGCCTACAGAAATAGCACAGAATTCCGCAATAGTAATGTGCCGAGTGACAATTTCTATAATTACATTGACTGCTGAGGGTGACAATGAGAAGAGTTCACTAATTCATGACTAAACAATCAAACTTCACTGTAATTGAATTCCCCTCTCAAGATCCAGAATCGGTCATTCAAAGTCCAGTGACTAAAACCAATGGAGATCTGTGTCGGGCTATTGCTGAATTAACTGGCATGAAATTTTGCTGTGAGCTGATGAAGCAAGAAATTGGTGTTTGTTCAGCAAACAATTAGTGACAAAGTTCTGTCCACAAGACTTCAGCTGTGACTAAGATATTCCAGTGGACAGGATTCCAGATTCACTTTGCCTTATAGTGATTGCAGAAATAGACTGCATTATAACATTTATTTCTAAACACTGATCTGTGATAACAAGACAATAATGGCATGCACACGTGGAGGATTTAATGGTGCAATACATCAGATGTGTATATGAAAAACACATATTGTGCAATATATTTTTATTACATATTTATATCACACTGTACATATACAAAAATCGACTCTCAGTTTTCATATATTTTTTTCACACCATATACTCTAAGTTACAGCATATCAAAAAACTGCATCAAAAAAAAAAAATCTTCTCTGAATGACAACAACCGCACACAAACATTTTATGATTGGCATCAACGAGTTATACTGCTAGGTGGAAAAAGAGATTTTTTCCAATTCCCTGATGACTCAACGCCAGGTTTAAAAAGTGGAAAAAGTGATTGTTTTGAATTTGACATAGAAATCAATATCATCGCATTGATAAGACATAAGGGCTCTTGTAGTCCGCGATTAAACATGGTTATTGCGTGACAAAGCCACCAAATTCTGGTGCCTTTACATCATTCGATTAATGAGCTTTTTTGCCTTAGGCCCTTTTGTTCATTAGCGGCCCCTTAATTCGAAGCCGAATCACAATATACACAAAAAATAACCCAAGTCAATTAAAGCCTCTGGCACATCACAAGAACTGAATAATTTACCCTTAAATGTTTAACCAATTGTACAAGATATTGATGAATCACTAAATATTTTGTTCCATTTCATCAAAGTTCACATTCTTGCACAATAATTACACTGTGTTGTCATAAAGCCGACCTAGTTGTGGCACTATTTATAGAATTGATGTTTTTGTTTGTAAATATTCCAATGTGCACTAATTTATTATTTATTTTATGTAATTTCTACCCAGAGCAAGCTTCTTTAAATGGGATGAAACTTAGAATATGACATATTATCAGAACCTGGGTATTACCTCAGTGTAAGAGTTACCTCCCATTGTAAGGTGCTTGCTAAGTGGCTGTGCTGTGATATGCCATATTATCTGTATGTAAATTATTTCTAGTCAAAACCATGTACTTTGCTGGCCTTGATAATATTATGTTATGTACAAACCTTCTCCCATTTATGATAGATCTACTTTCTACTTAATTTCACTCAAATCTATTCTTGATTACAAATTTCTGTTTTACCCCCTGCACAATTTTTCATTTTTGAATCAATTTTTACATGTTTTTAAAAAAAAATATCACGCTAATTAACAAACGATCTCAAAATTATCAGTATTAATCTTTTTTACCAAAAGTTAATTCATCATTTAAATTTCTTAGTATGTTCCATGGTTAGTACTCATGACCATAATTTGATTTTTAATTCAGACATTTTTAAATCATGTTTAACTATTCCATCCATCACGGACTGAGAAATCCACATCTCATTTTAACACATAACTAATTAAGCTTTATGTAGCTTAATTATTTGTTAATAGTCTGAGGTTGGTAGATGCACTACTCTATGACACAAAACATTTACTACTAAATCACATTGTATATTTCTAATTTACGCACAATCGTTTTGTAGTTGTACGTAGGAATTTGTTCCCACTGGTAGACACGGATATGAAATCCACATTCATTCCACAATGTGTTTGTTGTGAGAATTTGTTTGTTGTATAACATATGATTCCTGTGTTGATCTATTGGGATAAATGCAATTTCTCTGTTTTTTTCCATCATTAATTCTCTTTTTATTTCATGCATAACTTGTTGGTAAAAATTCAAATTGCTGGCAATTTTTAAAAAACGAATGTGAGAAATGTATATCATTTGGATGAAAATGAAAATAAATATGAAAAATATTCTTCTTTTATTGTTTTTTCCATTGTTCAAAGTGCATATAGTTATTCAGAGACAAAGAATCCAATAATCAAATTTCAATTGATGTGGAAGGATATATATTCAGTTGTGCTGTTGAGTAAACAGTCCAGATTTAATAAAGGGCGTGTAAAATATCCTTACTTTGAAGTTTAAAGCCAGAGCAATTTACTCTTGCATAAAAGAATTTATTTCAATAAATGAAATCTGAATTTTAATCTGCTCTGCAGTTTTGAGTCAAAATATACGGTATGTTTCTGTTTGAGTCAAATTCCAGCTGACAAAATCACCTTTGAGCAATGATAAACATATGTGACTTAAACAGACCCAAAATACAGAGTCTTCTCAAAATTAGAGTAGGAACCAGCACATTTCTTTATGGAGAATACAGATTTTAAGAATTGACAGTAAAAATTAGATTGGCATTCAATATGTTCTTATTAAAAACAATATTAAAGACTTTCATTCCCTTCCTTTGGAATGACCTACCAAAACAAATTTCTTACAACAAGAGTATAAAAATTCACACATTTATAAAATTCTGGCCAAAAGAGAGCATTAAAAAAGGTATAGCTATAAAAGAAAATCATTAAGTTGCACTTGTAAGAATGTGGTAAGGGTAAATAAGTAGTGGTGTGAATGTGGTAAAGGTTAATTAGTTAGTAAGTTGTGGTGTGAATGTGGTACTTACGTAGGATTCTGTACAAGGCGTCGGAAGAAGTAAGTCCACGTGATGTAGTCCATGGCGTCTTGTTTGGACGTCACTGTGCCTGCTATAATCTCGGCGTTCATGTGGTCAGGGAGTACCTCCAACAGGCTATAGAAGAAAATAATGATTTTAATGACAAGAACCCACTGTCTTCAGTTACATGTACTTGTATAAAATATTTAAATATTTAGTGTAACAACTTGAGATTATCAAGAACTTTTGAAAATGTCAAATTTAACTTTGGAATTTTTTTTTAATGTTCAGTTTAAATCATACTTATATCCAACTACTAAGTTACCAAGAAATACAACAGACCTTTAACATACATAAAGCATGTGCCTTTTTTCCCCTCCCTCTCTTTAAAATTTTTCAAAAATATATTCATTGACCAATTATAGATTAAGGATGACAGAGTTATCCCTACTTTATCTAGCTTCTAGACAGAGCTACCTCTCTTTGTACAGACTTACTTGGACTCCACAGGAAATGGTTCGTACAAGAACCGCTTGTAGAAATGTTTCTTGATGTCATGTACCAGGATCATGGCCACTCCTTGGTCGTCAAACTGAGGCCGACCTGCGCGACCCATCATCTGGAGCACATCTAGAATCACAAATAATTTTTACAGCATACTTGATTTTTTTTTTTAAAAAGTTATGTGATAAAATCTAAAGTTTATTTCCAATATCCCTTTAGAAAAAAATAAAATAAAAGAAATACTTATTTAAAACATTTTTAATTAACTTTTTAAAAAAAGAAGATGGAGAGATTTGAAAAAAAAAATAGACTCCATTTTTTCCATTGCTTCTTTTATTGTGATAGCAAATTATTATTATGTCTTTGATATATCCTATCCACTTATTAAATGAAGAAAGTTATTACTTTGCTTTTATTGTGATGGGAAATTATTATTTTTTGTTTGATATATCCTGGAGTCACAAGCATTTTCAATAAGGAATTGCTATACATGTATTGTATGATCAGCTTGTACAATATAGCATGTTTTAATGCCACAGCATCATCAATACCTGTAAGTCTCATTATGTTCTTAGTGTAGTCTACTTATATGCCACATTATATTATAATCAGACTAAAACTGTATTTGGAGTAGCATTTTGAGAGTATATAACAGAAATTTCTTTTTTTAGTAACTGTGGCAACACCGTTCATAGAAGTAAAAAACCAAAACACAGAATTATGTAAGCTACTTGTGTGCCAAGTTATATTGAAATCACACCAAAACTGTAGGAGGTAGCATTTTGGAATTTCACAGAAATTTCTATCAAAACACCTACAACAAAAACCGATACATATTATGTATCTTATGTAGCTACTTTTGTGTCAAGTTATATTGAAATCAGACCAACACTGTAGGAGAAGTAGCATTTTGAAAAATTTCACAAAAAATTCTATTTTTAGTAACCATGGCAACACCGTTCATACAAAAACCGATACATAGAAATGTATCTATGTAGTCTACTTGTGTGCCAAGTTATATTGAAATCAGACCAAAACTGTAGGAGGAGTAGCATTTTGAAAGAATTTTACAGAAATTTCTATTTTTAGTAACCACGGCAACACCGTTCCACAAAAAAAAATAGAATTATGTATCTTAGTGTAGTCTACTTGTGTGCCAAGTTATATTGAAATCAGACCAAAACTGTAGGAATAGCATTTTGATTTTACTTTTCTATTTTTAGTAACCACGGCAACACCTTTCATCGAAATCAAAAACCGATATACAGAATTATGTACTTTAGTGTAGTCTACTTGTGTGCCAAGTTATATTGAAATCAGACCACAAGTCACAATGAATTTTACTAAATTTCTATTTTTAAGGCACCTCAAAAACCAATACACAGAATTATGTAGTGTAGTCTGCTTGTGTGCCAAATGATTGTTTTAAAAAATTGTAGGAGGAGTAGCATTTTGATTCCATTTTTAGAAAATTTATAAAAACCTAAACTGAATATGTATGTGACACCATTATATTGCTAACCCTAAAACCAAAATTTCTATTTTTAGTCCACACTGAAATCAAAAACCGATACATAGAATTATGGAATTACTTGTGTGCCAAGTTATATTAAATAACACTTTAACCTAGCATTTTGATTTTACAGAAATTTCTATTTTTAGTAACCACGGAACACCGAAAATTTTAAAAATATATTGTTTATGCATATATTGTGTAAAATTTGGCAAGAGGCCCAAGGGCCACGAAACTCACATGAGTCAGCTATTTATACTTTAAACTTACAATACTGATTGTGCTACACCAGACCCACGAGTCACAATGCTGACTTAAGTCACCTTATAGCCCTGCTGTCCTTAAATGATTGTTTTAAAAATGTTCTCCCTCAGAAAATTTTTAACCCATAATGTGACAGTCTATCTCAAGATGCTTGCATTGTAATAACACTTATCATGGGCCTTTTATTCCTGAAAAGATTTTCCTTATATATTAAGATAAGCTTTATTTAAAATCAGTATGGTAGTTAAAAAGTAACACAAGCTCTAATGAGCTTTTGACTGAATTCCTCTGTAAAACTTTGATCTCCTATTTAGCTCCATCCTATAATGGTACAACCCGAAGTAACAAACCTGGATTTGTTCTTCACAGAAATATTTCTATCAGTTTTAACTGTTCTTGATATTCTTCAGAAAATTCTAAAAATATATTGTTCATGCATATATTATGTTAAATTCTTTACAAGCAGATTTTTAAGGACATCTATAAGAATTTTGCATTTTCTTGATTACCTCCCTTTCAAGGCGAATAAACTTGAATCCCCTTCACCGAAGAATACTTTATGCTAAGTTTGATTGAAATGGATCTACTATGTTCTAAAGCAGTTGAAATTATTGGTAAAACTGTCAAACTGTCAGACAGACAAACAAACAGATGACCTTTATCAGAAAAGCTCACTTGAACTTTGTCTCAGGCGAGCTACCAAAAAACCTCGAAACAAACATAACTGAAGTCGGACCATGTCCAGTAAGATATAGCCAGAATATAAAACACCAAATAAATCATCTGATGTTGTTTGCTTTAATTTTGTAATTTAGGGACCAGGAAACATGATATATTCCATTGTCTTTGATTGATTCTGTCCGGCTCTCTGAGAACATTATTGTGAAGATGTGGGACCTAACAACCAGTAGTAACCTTTGGAGGACATTAATCATTTCTGTTACACGATTCCTCAATTCTTCATGTATTCCATCTTAACGACAGAAGCCGTTCACTGAATTAGCTCTGAACTTCTCTTACAAGACAAATCTTCAGCCAGAGGAAACTGAGACTCAGAAGACCTAAGAAACGAAGAAAAACAAAGAAATTCAACCCCACAATGAGGCATCAAATCACAAGACAATTTATTTTTCTGAAAGTCTTACAGTTATATGAAAAAATCAATCTTAACAATTGCCTTATTCTTTGCTTTCTCTATTCTTTAGTATCTGAGAAGGCAAAAATGTGAAGAGTTTACAGACAGACAGTTAAACTGATTGACAGACATATATGGTGAATTTAATACAATATATACCCAAAACTTCAGTATAATCCCCAAAAAATATTGTTTTGTAGGGATATAACATTTCAAAGTAAAAGGCCACACCAGGCAAAAAGTCTCAGATCTTTTGGACCTTTTTTGTTCAAAATATTGTTTTGGTAGCTACTTGTTGGCCTTATCAGTAGCTTTGAGTGTCTGAGAATGATGAAGATGTATCGAGTCTACTGGCAGTTTATAAACCTACCTGTATTTTCTGATTGACAAAGAGTTCTTCACAGACTTTTCTGTCTCGTTCTATCAAGCCAGCATGATGAAGACCAATTCCGAATGCCAGAGTTAGCTTCAGGTTTGTATCTTTAATACCTGATATGATGTTTTCCATCTGAAAGTTCAAATGAGTAGAGACTTTAATTTAAATCTTTATTAAAAAAAATATTGTCACCATTGTCATGGTTTTCAGTAAATTTTAAAGCAATACCTTTCTTGTGCAATTACGAATTTACTCTATAATTTTCTCTTCTGTTTTACCTCATGTTGATAGATGAATGATGGAAACAATGAATGGTATTCAAGCTCATGAGTTAATTGAAACAAATCATAAGCAGAGTAAATATGAACCTTTAAAACATCAAGGTGGGATCAGGTGCCATGGAGAGTAAGAATCCCCACAGAAAGTCAGCATTCATTTTCCTGATAGACTGTAAGTACTCACAATTTAATTTATTGACCTTGACCTTTTTATTGTATTAAAAAAATGATGACTTAAAATAAGACTGTTGATATCCTTGTTTCATCAATTTGATTGTCAATAGCTTGCCTTGTTTTAGATTTTGAATTTAAGTGCATGTTCTTCCGTATTGAATAAGCTAGAAGGCATAAATTCCACATGCATATGATAAGTGTTTATCATGCAACTACTCCTTGCATTGACCTAATAAAGGTAACCTAATAAACTAAAGCTTTATTGGGTCAATGCCCTAATAAAGCCTTGTGCGTGTACTCCAACGTTCTAAAAGCATTGGGACGTCACATATATTGCAATGTTTATGCTATGGCGCCTTAGTTTCCATTACAGAGATGTGTCTAAATCGGGTTGAAAATAGTTCATTTTGAAGGTCAGATTTAAAAATATTTTGCAGGATAAACAAAATACATGGTCATTGTCTTGAAATACAAGTGATATTTGGATTAGGGTCGAAAACATGATAGAGAGCTTGGCAAGCCTTACCCTCTATCATGTTTTCTTACCCTTGCCCAAATTATGCTTATATTTCAAGTTACCATGTACTATTTTATATTGATCTCTACACAAGTAAGGTAAGCTGGCAATAGAAAAGATAAGTTCATCATGTTTATCAGATAGTTTTGTTCTTAGGTTACCATTAACATCTTTTTCAAAGTTCTAGTAAAATATTCAAATGAGAAACAAATGTGTCAGACTTTGTGGTCTGATCACTTCAAGCTCACAGGGGTCTATTCATTAGAAATATGAACCGACTTTACTATTGTTAATGATAATTATGTTGTCAATATATATAAATGTGAAGCCAAATGTTTTTTTCCTTCCATGTTTAAAATTTTTTAAATATAAATTCTGCTCTTCAATTAAAAAAATACATAAAACAGGTTTACTAACATAAAACAGGTTTACTAACAAAGGGGCACAGTTTGTACCCATGGGATATCCAACATATTGTTGATCACCTGATCTCCAAATATTAATAAATATCATCAATCAGAAACTCAAACATCTTTTTAATTTCAACATCAGAGTACTTGTGCTTTTCCTTTTATGATTTAGTTTCAGGTTAGTGAAAACAATGTTTTTAATTGGCTCATGCAAACTTTTATGAGGCCAATCATAAGGGCATTTCTAACTCTGTCAAAGTCAATCTATTTGGTCAAAGGTTTATGTGGCGCGGAATGGATCAGAAACTCTTGATTTGGGAAGTTGGTTCCATGGAACAGGTCTTTATCTCAATAACTAAAATCATAGTTTAATATTTAGTAAGTGATTATGCATATGTATCCCTTCATTGTTGCAAAGCTCTTTGAAGTGTTTTTAGTTGAAATACTAGCTGGTGCGACTACATTTATTGAAAAAAAAGTTATCTAAAAGAGATCTTTTATTTGTTAACATATTTGAAGCGGTTAAACAATGGGCTAGGGAACTTGACTCTATCATAGCTTTCAGCCTCTCTCTGAGTTTCAGATTCATTGTGTACTAGGTATCAATAACAGGGGGATTAAATGATATTCTTTTTAATAATTTTTAATCAACAAAATATATTCAGATAAAACATGGAACAATATCAACAATCAGACATAAATCACAGAAATAATTTACACTTAAAATGTTAAATAAGGGATTTTCACTGTAAACTATAATCAACATATAACTAGCTCAAATTATAACACATAAAATACTGATCTAACATGATCCTTAGCTTAAATATGACCTTGACATTTTATACTTAGCCTCGATTTTCTCTTGATAGAAAATGTTTTTTTCAAAATTTGTGGCCAAAATCAATTCTGATCCTAAAACAAAATAAAATATGCCTATCTGTGGTCTTATTCAATAAATTAAACCACAAACAAATTGAATTATCTCACTACTAAACTCAAAGCATCACATATAAAGAAATATAGTTACATGAATAAGCTGGAAGAAGTTTGAACATCTGACTGCTCATTCTTAAAAAAAAATCAATATTGAAGTCAGAGAAAGCAAGCACTGTGCACGGAAATACATGTAATGACAATTTCTGCTTTCTATTGTAAATCACCTAGTACAATGTAAAAAGAAACTGAACCCCCCAAAAAAGAAAGATAGAATCATAGAGTTATCAGCATTATTTTTTTTCATGTTAAATGAAATCAATGATTTGCACAAAGCCATTTATAATATTTTATTACACCAAAATATATAATCAATACATTTGTCTAAACATCAACAAACATCTACTCTTTATCTGAACACATTAATAAAAATCAAATTCATTTAATATACATTTGCAAGATATCATCAATATATATCACATTATGGAGATTTGATTTCTAATAGACTGCTGAACAATATTGAATGCTGATATTATGGTGTACAATTCCTGGATAAATTATAAAGATTTAATTTCCTGGGAATACCTTATGTACAAACTAGTAATTTATTGTCCTAATACTTCTGTTATAACAGTGAACAATCAATGCTCTAGTCTTCTATGTCATATTCCTTAATTTTCCTGACAAAATCAGACACTTAAAGAAAACTTCTTAAAGAGAACTCAGTTTCAAAAAGTTGAATACAGCTTAATTTAAAAAGTCTGGTTTTCACATATCGCATAGGTATCTTTGAAAAAAAAAATATTATAAACACAAAATTACACAAAAATAAGTCATTTACAGTCTATGAAAATCAACACAGTGCTATTGTATTATGGCAAAATCATTCATGAACACAGCTTAATGTTGTTTAAAAAGTTCATTAATAATAAATAAACAGATTTTATGCATAAAAAATATTTAGGGAGCCATTATACATACAATCAAAAATGTACTAGGAGTCAAATTAACGTTAGATTCATAATATAAGTAAATCTATTTTTTAGCACACTTGAATACTTGAGCATAGTTTTATCCTCTTCAAATTTATCACATTTCATGCCGTAATTTTTGACACATTTTCTATAGTGATGTAGATTGGCTACTTTGGTATCCACCGTCTTAATTTCTAGATCCTCCCCTAGGGGTTTGCTAACATGATGAATTCCAACTTCGAATATCTTTGACGGCTTTATCATGACTTTGGTTCTGACTTTACTGTACATGGCAGTTCTTGACAACTGTTTTATTGTCACCAGGTCCCTCGACTCCCCAGGATCAAAGAAAGCACTGTGAAAGCTAAGCCCTGCAACTCTGTCTTGGAACAGATTGGACAGGGCTTCCGACCAGAGTTTGTGAGACGTGTGTGGCACAATGTACTCGTCGATGTCTTGTAGCACCATGAAATTAAAGAGACTCATCGCGCGGAACATGCAGTCATTATGAGCCAGTAACTGGCCGTGGTACCATAGGGAGGCGTCCTTAATCTCGCCCGGTACACCCCAGGGAATGACAGTCACTATACCCCGCTCCATGTAATACTGTAGGACTTTTCTAGTCTCGTTTTTTGATATGTGAAAATCATAAAAAATAAAATGCTGAGCACCAAATAATTGATTTAGTTCGATGAATTCCACAAGTCTTGCTTTATCGACCTCTCCAAAGAGAGGGGGAATGCACACGCCGTAACTGTACTGTGTGGAGTTTGGAGAAATCCTGGATACATTCATAGACACAGTCTTCACCTCATCTGAACCAGATTCCTTGGCCTTAATTATAACATGGCAGGGTTTTAAACCTCTATCCACAGGGAAAGAAAAGATGTATCCTCCCATCATTTTGTTGTGGTTTTCACACATTTCATATACGTTAGCACTGATATTTGTTCCCTCTCCATCACCAAAATGACAAGTTACTTTGACCTTGTCCTTTTTCTTTCTGGCAAGAATGGCCATGACCCTGACATAAGCCTGACTAGTTCTTTCATCCAAGTAAGCCGAGTAAACATACAGAACATTAGGAAGCACCGTCTGGAATGTGTATTCCGTATTCTTTGGAGAAACGAAGCAATCGTCTGTAGGAGGCCATGATGGCCCTCTATAGAATGACTCACTACGAACCTTAAAGTCAGACAAATCCCTTCTCAGTCCATTGGCATTAACAGAGCTATCATTGAATCTGAGCAGGGCCGAGTGAACATGTCTTACAATGCCTCTCATCTGCTTGTTCTGTAGGATCTCGAGCTGAAGCTGGCCGTGGAAAACAAAGACCATTAGCATGTAGAACATGCACATTATCAGGAAATAAATTCGATAAGGCCATCCTCTTCTTCCCATTCCACCATGTATTCACGTTTGCTGGAATGAAAAAAGACAAATACTGTCAATTAGTGTAAAATCAATAGAGGCTGTGGAGGCATTGTCACACAGACACTCAAATAAAGAAATATAAAATAAAAAAAATGAAATAAAATGAGGATTTTAACAAAGTATTACTGTAAATTACAGTTATTAATACTTCCTGTCTTTATTTGTTATGTCACCTATAACATACAAGTATAAGTAACATATTATAATATTATTATATAATTTTGGTAACACAATTATATACTGAACAAATTTTTTAGATAAAAGTTTTAACATTTTCATGGAAAGAAATTTATAAAAGGGGCTATATATTTGACAAAGATTTTTAAAAAATGAAATATTGTATGGTAAATTAAACATATCAGCAAAGATGAAATTGCAATGAAACTTAACTTTCAATCTTTTTTTGGAAGAAATAAGTTTGCAGCTATAATCATGAGAAAATAGGAAATAATTTTAACATATTTTTCTCTAACTTTTAAATCTTTTCTTTATCCTCAAAAACTTATTTTACTTTATCCTAAGAAGTTATATAATTTAATTAGCCTTTGACTTCCAAATGAGGACTTTATTAAGCCAAAACAAATCAATGAATTTTCTGGTTTAGATATTTCAAAAAATCCAGATATCATTGGATGAAATTAAACTACAAAACTCAAAATATTCCTCTTAATTTTTTCTGACACCAGAATCAAGAAAACATACCCGTTAACAAAAAAATTCACTCATAAACGATGCACAAATTTTTAGATATCCACGATATTTCTGAATCCAGTGATATTTGCGACATACTCCTCCCTACATCTGCTATTCAGTGTTATGGATCTGTTTGACGGGGACTGTTATATCTACGTACCTGTTGTCACAAAATGATTCTATTGATCATGCAGTCTTTTTGCACATTATTAATTCACAACTTATAACTCATGATAATTGTATCACAACCCTATTTTAAGTTAATACCCAATAAAACCGGCACCATCCAGTGAAAGCTTTGACAGAGGGAAATATTAAGAAATATATAATCGACATGATTAAACTTAAAAATCTAGTACTTCGTACATTATATAAGCTTTATAAAGTATATGAGGTCACCAGGAAAATGAAACATCCTGTCCTCCCAAAAAACATTATACCCTCTAGTTTTGTCATCACTAACAATTTTTTTAATACAAAATACCATAATTTTTCAACGATTACTTCTTTTTTGCCCTATTTCTCAATATCACAAATGCTATTGGTAACCGTCATCCCTTATTTTACGTTATGCACAATATCACATCCCATACTGCACCCTGATCAATTTGGAACCTAACACTTCATCAGAGTAGCAGGTGCTTGAAAACAAAGCATAGATCTGATTTTTTTGTGGGACGTACCTTACTCTAATGATTTCCGAATTTAATCCGCACCATTAGACTGCGTAAAATAACAGTGTCACCAGCTTGATACAGACACATAGCCCCAATACAGCCCCCTCTTTCTCTGTTACACAATTTATTAAGTTTCTATAAAAGAATTGAGCTAATTCATTTGGTGATGACAATATCCAAACAATAAGCTACGTAAGCTGCCTAATCTAATTGTTAAGTTGGCTAATATACTTTCTCTGAATCAACATCTCTTTCAGTATCCTATGTTATTGATATTGACAAAAGACTACAGATTAAACAAGCTAAAAGTACAAAACTTACAGATCAAATAAAGTGATGTATTGCCCTCAGTATTTACTTCCATCTCTAAACTACATCAAACATGGCCATAATTTACTGGGACCTAATGTTGTGACTTGTTAGTTTGTGTGTGCAGCAAATCTATACAACTAATGTTTAATCACAGTTTAAACTTCCTGTTAGATTTCTCTTTTTTTTCAAATCTATTTTCTAATCTATAATTACCATGAGTGAATAGATTTGATATTTTTATATACTGGTGATTTCCCCACCATTGAAATAACAGAACTACTTACTTTATATGTATGTTATGCCCCAAAACAAGTTCCACATTTTCCCCCTTGAGATTTTGACTCAATAAGAAAGAATCTGGCAAGTTTTGAATGTTCATTGACAAAAAAAGAAGGAAATTGTGTAAGAAAAAAATTTAATATTTGTTGACCTTTGGAAATGCATTAGTCATAAGACGACTGCGCTCATTTTCTGTCTTCAAATAACTAGTAAAAGATTTTCACAAGGGGCCCATGGGCCACACCACTCACCTGACTCAAAGAGTCCTACTGTTTTTTTTATTCATTTCTATTTTTAAATTGCAACTCTCCCCCCTTCCTAAGGTCTTGATTTGAAGTAACTTGTAACTACACTGAGGATGCTTCCATATAGGACAAACCACTTTTTTTTCTGATTATACGAGTGGGATTGCATGGTGTTTTTATAGGCCTGCCAGGGTTTATACTAAGAAGAGTATGTTATAAATGAATGTTCTATAAAAAGCAAAAAGAATTATAAATTTGATTGAAAACATGAAAAGGTTACTTACAATTAAATACTGGTTAGTTAAGCTTTTTTGATATCATTTCTCTTTTACTTTATCCATGTATATGAAAATAAAGAATAATATACCAAAAATACTGGTATATAAATAATTGTACCATTTACATACCCTATGACTTTGCATCATTCATCTACAGAGCAGCAAATATTTATCCTAGCTCCCTCAAATTTAGCAGGGGCTGTGTATAATTCCTCATATTAGGGTCCAAAAAAGCTTGATCACAAAGCTGTCTTTTCTTGACACATCATAAAAATTGAAAGTCATTCAAAATAATCCTTGCTATTCATCCCCTTTTGTGTATGAACAGGACTGCCATTTCCTGTAAAAATTGATGCACTGCTGAAAGAAAAAGACACCAAACTGACTGTCTCCATCATGGTACACTCTTGAATTTAAGTGCAGCATGATTAAACACTTTTATTAAAGTGCACTTTAAAAACTTAGATCAAACAACCTTCACAAAAACCCTTATCACTAAATGCAACTACCCATTCATTGGAAGTGACTAATGGAGCTCTATTGCAAGGTTACATTTAAGGCAAATCCAGGTAACAAAAGGCTAGACAAAGTGAGAGGACGGCAAAAAACCAAGGTGCCCTAAAATTATGGTTGGAGTAGCATACCTAGCATCTCCCAGACAAAGCTAATGCAGTCACAATATTCCATAGAAAAAAAATCAATGACTCTGGTATCTTCTGAGGATATAACACACAATTCCACTGCTGGGATGTTCTCTGCTATTAATATTGAATAGCTAATGATCTTTTACTACTTTCAAACTAAGTCATTATGCACATCCATTTTCCCCCTTTAATCAATTAAATAATATCCTAAAATATGTATTAATTATATGACATACTAGATCATGTATGAATTGCTAATAACCATTTGTATGCTATGTTGTGTAAGAACAAAGCCCTAAGCACTAAGGTTCTAATAGGTTCTAATTTATATCAAATATTTATTTATCATTACAATACCAAAAGGTTTGTTTCCTTAATGTTGTAATCTTTTTCTATTTAGTTCAATCTATTGATAATAATTTTTCCTTTAGCTGATCTTGCAAAAAGAGCAGGTATATAGAAAAGTTCAATCATTTTAACAAAAGAGCACTTTAGAGATCATCAAAAGGAAAAGCCAAGATTCATGTAACTGTTTCCCAGGTTAAGAAACTCTCATCAAATCACAACTTTTCTCTATTTAAACAAAGCTTTTTCCTCCTATTCCTTCATCCAACAATCTATAAAACAAGATAACATACACAGATAGGATTTGACCATGATTAAGCAACTCTCTGAAGTTCTTTACAATATAAATCTTTCCCTATAACTTCCTTAAATTGTTTCTTTTCTTGACAATTTTAACAGAGTATTGATTTAATCTGTAGCATTAGTATCCATGGATAAACAAATTTTTATAAACTTTATAATAGCTATAACATGCATTTTTTTTAATACTAAGTGTAACAGCCTGTTTAATTTTTGGAGAGTGGTGTTTTAAAATTTGTCACCAATCTATTGGAATGAATTTCCTTTTTAAAAACATTCAGTCATCATCACTTCTGAATATATAGCTCATAGCCCTTTGGATAACATGTCTACTTCAGGCAATAGACAAAGAACTATATTCGGTATGTTGCAAATCTTTGCCCCCACAAATTTTAAATTTTGAAAAATTCTTAAAATGTGTTGTATTGTATAAATTGTATGAAAAATATAAATTAACAAAACATATTATAGTTTCAAAGTAGGTTATTGACAATTTTTTATTTTATGACGTCACAAACTCGTTGGATTTTGCATTATTTTTCAAAAAAAGGACAAAAATGGACGAAATTTCAACAATTTTATTTATAGAATTTACAGAGCGCATGTCTGTTCAGGAACAATATTTGCATATTTAATTGATATTATTATTCTACACATTATATCAAAATATTGAGCCTGAACACACATGCGCTCGGTGATTTTTACTCAAAATATTGACAATTTCTACATTTTTCTATAGAAATGAAAGCAAATTTTAGATTTACATCATTTCAAACATATGATGTCATTGCTGACGAAAACATTCAGTGCTTTGAAGTCAGCATGAATCCCCCTGTTTTAAAACATAATTAAGTTTTACTCCGTCAAAGTTTGATTTTGGGGGCAAATATTGGTTACTACCGAATAAAGTTCTTTAACATTTCTAAGAGTTATCTCCCATTGTCGGCGTAACGCTCATTTTTCCCACTTTGTTCTTTGCAAGTTACCTGTATTGCCAGAGTATGGGGCAACATGAAAAACATAATGAACATATTCATACAGAATTTATTCATGATACTGACCCCAAAAGTTGGCATAGTTATAGAGGGAAAAACAGTGCTTTATGCCGAATGACCCCGAATTGACCCCACAAAGGGGAATAACTTTTGTAAATGTGAAAGTCATCTATACATCCAAAAGTTGTGCCAGGGAAGAAAAATCACACTGTTTATTGTAAATGCGTATAGCTCCAAAAATCAACAGTTTGACAACTTTGTGGCAGTCATTTTTCTCCTAGACCTTATTTACTCTATAATGAAATAACTTAATCATCAAGGGGGTGGGGTATCTGAATTATGACCTATCAGTCTATGTTTTTTAAGTATATAATTTTAAATTAGAAGTACTAAGCATTTAATTTTGCTTAATCCAAAACCTGATCCCTCAACAAGGGTAATAAATTTCATGATTTTAGTGAAAGATTTATTGCATGTTATAACCTGAGACACAATAAATGAATTCAGCCTTAAATTTTCTTTTTGAAAATTGACCTCAAACTTAATCAGGATCTTTGGGTTAGGTTATAACACTGATAATTCAGGTAGTAAGCGATCTTTATACCCGCACTTTCTAAAGAAAGTTCGGGTATATTGTTGTTACTCATGTCCGTCCGTCCGTCCGTCTGTCACACTTTTCTTCCCTGAACTCCTCTTACATTTTACACAGTAGCCTAATCATCTTTTGGGAGATGGTTGGTGGTGTCATGTAGATGTGCAGTAAGGTTTCGGAATTTTGTTTTTGCCCCGGGGGGTCAAATGGGGGTCGAAAAATGATGTTTTTTATGCAAAAAGCCCCATCTTCCCTGAACTCCTCTTACATTTGACACAGTAGCCTAATCATCTTTTGGGAGATGGTTGGTGGTGTCCTGTAGATGTGCAGTAAGGTTTCGGAATTTTGATTTTGCCCCGGGGGGTCAAATGGGGGTCGAAAAATGACATTTTTTTATGCAAAAAGCCCCTTCTTCCCTGAACTCCTCTAACATTTTACACAGTAGCCTAATCATCTTTTGGGAGATGGTTGGTGGTGTCATGTAGATGTGCAGTAAGGTTTCGGAATTTTGTTTTTGCCCCGGGGGGTCAAATGGGGGTCGAAAAATGATGTTTTTTATGCAAAAAGCCCCGTCTTCCCTGAACTCCTCTTACATTTGACACAGTAGTTTAATCATCTTTTGGGAGATGGTTGGTGGTATCCTGTAGATGTGCAGTAAGGTTTCGGAATTTTGATTTTGCCCCGGGGGGTCAAATGGGGGTCGAAAAATGACGTTTTTTATGCAAAAAGCCCCGTCTTCCCTGAACTCCTCTTACATTTTACACAGTAGCCTAATCATCTTTTGGGAGATGGTTGGTGGTGTCATGTAGATGTGCAGTAAGGTTTCGGAATTTTGATTTTGCCCCGGGGGGTCAAATGGGGGTCGAAAAATGATGTTTTTTATGCAAAAAGCCCCGTCTTCCCTGAACTCCTCTTACATTTTACACAGTAGCCTAATCATCTTTTGGGAGATGGTTGGTGGTGTCATGTAGATGTGCAGTAAGGTTTCGGAATTTTGATTTTGCCCCGGGGGGTCAAATGGGGGTCGAAAAATGACGTTTTTTATGCAAAAAGCCCCGTCTTCCCTGAACTCCTCTTACATTTTACACAGTAGCCTAATCATCTTTTGGGAGATGGTTGGTGGTGTCATGTAGATGTGCAGTAAGGTTTCGGAATTTTGATTTTGCCCCGGGGGGTCAAATGGGGGTCGAAAAATGACATTTTTTTATGCAAAAAGCCCCGTCTTCCCTGAACTCCTCTTACATTTGACACAGTAGCCTAATCATCTTTTGGGAGATGGTTGGTGGTGTCATGTAGATGTGCAGTAAGGTTTCGGAATTTTGATTTTGCCCCGGGGGGTCAAATGGGGGTCGAAAAATGATGTTTTTTATGCAAAAAGCCCCGTCTTCCCTGAACTCCTCTTACATTTTACACAGTAGCCTAATCATCTTTTGGGAGATGGTTGGTGGTGTCATGTAGATGTGCAGTAAGGTTTCGGAATTTTGATTTTGCCCCAGAGGGTTAAATGGGGGTCGAAAAATGATGTTTTTTATGCAAAAAGCCCCTTCTTCCCTGAACTCCTCTTACATTTTACACAGAAGCCTAATCATCTGTTGGGAGATGGTTGGTGGTGTCATGTAGATGTGCAGTAAGGATTCGGAATTTTGATTTTGCCCCGGGGGGTCAAATGGGGGTCGAAAAATGACGTTTTTTATGCAAAAAGCCCCGTCTTCTCTGAACTCCTCTTACATTTTACACATTAGCCTAATCATCTTTTGGGAGATGGTTGGTGGTGTCATGTAGATGTGCAGTAAGGTTTCGGAATTTTGATTTTGCCCCGGGGGGTCAAAAGGGGGTCGAAAAATGACGTTTTTTATGCAAAAAACCCTGTCTTCCCTGAACTCCTCTTACATTTTACACAGTAGCCTAATCATCTTTTGGGAGATGGTTGGTGGTGTCATGTAGATGTACAGTAAGGTTTTGGAATGTTGATTTTGCCCCGGGGGGAGGAATGGTGTCGAAAAATGATATTTTAAAAAGTGAGGTCAAGGTCAAAGGAAAATTCAAGGTCAAAATATGTTGACGTATTAGGCCACGTAAAATTAATCTTTAGATTCTCATCCTAATTTGCTAAAAAATTGGGGCGGGTGGGCGGATTTTATTTTTTATTTTTTATAATTGTTCATTTATATATAGGCCTAAGTATCAACAAAACAATGGACGCCCAGTACACATTTTTTTTCATTACCTTAATGCAAATATGAATAGATTTAATTCTTTTCATATTCTTTTAAATATTTAAAGAAAATTTTTGCTTTAAAAATTAAATATTTATTGTTAATTAACAAATCATCAAGTACACATTATACGGCACATCCTGAACAAAATGGGGATACCAATAAATTGTGTATGCGTGACTTCTTATTTTGCAAAATCTATATAAATGTTCTAATAATTATTCTACTGAAAAATCTAGGCCTTCTCTTAAGTCTGTCTACGATGTTGTAGATTTTTTAATTCACACAGCTGGAGATTGTTATATATAACTTGACCAGGTGTCATTTTCCTGGTCTAATTTTACTTAGTTACAATCTCTCTACATACTTGCTCCTGCCAGTGATGGTATTTATATGTGTTTATGCTATTTTTCCTTCTCTGCCTTCTCTATACTGACAAATTATCTTTTCCTTACACATTTAAACTGCTTTTATTGCCGATTTTTCTCCATTCTTCACATGGCGTTTTTGCTATAAATAGCGACACGCGACTTTCAATACAGACGGGAGATAACTCTTAA